GAGTGACCCGTGATGTCGCCCTCTCTACCAGGTGGCTATGGGCTAGGCTGACTGCCCCGATGGCGTGTGTGAGCGACCAGCTTGGCCAGATGGTTAGAAAAACCTTGATGTGCAGAATGAGGGGAGGGGTGGTCAGCTTGGGATTTCCCCCCGAGATTTTTCCAGCATCTCTTTGTATCTGTGCTGCTAGCAGGTGGTTAGCCATGAGGACCACATGCTGGGAGTACCCGGGTTCAAATCTCCCTTGCTACCTGTGTGACCTCGAGCAGGCCTTCTTGTGCCGGTTTCCCCATCTGTAGGATGAAGGCAGTAGAAGCACGTGCTGTGCAGAGTGTCTGTGAGAACCGGGAAAGTTGAGTGAAAGTGGCTGTTACTGTTATTGTTGTTGTTACTCTAAGCAGCAGCAGCAGCTTATGCTCCCTTGCTGCTGCTTCCCAGGAGCCTCCAGGAGGAGGAGACGGTCCGGGAAAGTGCAGGAGGGGCCCCTGTCTGGCTTGGGCCTCCGCATCCCCCAGCCAGGCCCTCCCCCAGAGCCTGAGGGAGGCGGCGGCTCTGTTCCATGCTTCGTTCGGAACAGAAGCCTTTGCTATTTTTGTCCTCCTGAAGGGACAGCGGCTGCCGGGCTGCCCTCTCCGCAGTGCAGTCGGGATGCTGGGCTCTGAGCAGGAACTGGCAGAGGAGCCAGGGAGCTCAGGACTCAGAGGAGAAGGCGCCGGGCCAGCTTGCTGTTCGCAGGAGGAGGAAGCGAGTCAGAGGGAGGGGGGAGGGAGGGGCAGCTGGGTTCCCTCCACCTTCCCACAGGCAGCCTCGGCCTCAAGGGCCCGCGCCTGGTCGCCCGTGCCCCTCAGCACTGCCCTGCTGTGGACATTCAGGCCGTGTAACTTCAAACAAGTGTGTCCTCTCTGTGACCTGTTCTTGCCTTCCCATCCTGGAAGCTGGGAGGTGGGCTGGATGCAGAGAAAAGAGCATCGTCTGAAACCCACCTCACAGCTCAAGGACCTGGAAGGCACAGAATGGAAGGGCAAACAGGAGCTACTGCCTCTTTTGTTTCATCTCTAAAAATAGAAAAAGAACCATGAAACCATGGTCAGGCCGACACCATGTGATGTGACTTCTTCGTTTCTGTGGGGACCTATTTTGCATAGAAGACTATTTTCTGGATTGGTACCTCCCAGCTGTATTGTCTCCAGCGGCAGAACGGGTGTCATTTTGGAACTACGAGGAGGACCCCAGGGGTCAGTCTGCCTGGTGTTGCTTTTCCAGCAACCTTCTTGGCTCTGTGTCCAGGCTGACCTCGGACGGTCACCAGCCCTGCATGGTGAGCGTGCACCGCAGGTGTGGCTGTGGTGACTCGGGAACCGTGGGTTTTGTTTTGTCTTGTTTTGAGGCATAATGGGCATACATAACATTATGCTAGTTTCAGGTCCAAGGAGCCGCATTATTTAATCTAAACTGAACTAATGAAGTGTAAATAGCCCCATGTGGTCAGTGCTGCCGTCCCAGATGGGGCTGACTGACCCACACGAGGGAGAAGGGCCAGAGGTCAAAGGTCTCGGGCCCGGTGGCCGTTCACGCGGCCACACTGGCGTCTGGACCGAGGTGAGTCTTAGTTGCTTTATCTCTGCTGTGGGAGCAGCTGTCTACTCTCTTAAACAGGAATGAGGTCAAGACCACATTAAAATAGCAAAGAATGTGATCTCCTGGGGTGGGTCCCATTTCTCCTTAGAGCCCAGCGTCGAGCTGCCAAATCACCGGGGAGGACCCGTCATTTCTTCCAGGATTCTTAAGACGCCCAGGCGGCCTGCTCAGGCTGGGATGAGAGTCTGAGGTCAGGGTAGCCCAGAGGGGACACAGCGAGGCCACCCTGGGCCTCTGGGGCCAGGATTCTGGTCCAGGGCCTTGGGAGGAATGAGTCCTGAATCAAAAGACCAACCAAAGGAAATGGACAGCCTTGCGGAGAGGGGAGAGGACAGCCCCCGAGGATGAACCCAAGGGAAACTGGGTTCGGAAGAGGCCTGAGCACACAGAGAATGTTTCTCTAGTTTCTCTTCTAGGAGGTTTATCGTGTCTTGTATTGTAAGTCTTTAAGCCATTTTGAGTTGATTTTTGTGTGTGGAGTGAGGGAGTGTTCTAGCTTCACTGACTTGCATGCTGCTGTCCAGTTTTCCCAGCACCACTTGCTGAAGAGACTGTCTTTTCTCCATTGTATATTCCTGCCTCCTTTGTTGAAGTTTAATTGACTGCAGGTCCATGGGTTCATTTCTGGGCGCTCTGTCCTGCTCCACTGTGCCGGTGCCGTGCTGCTTTGCTTACTGGGAGGGCTGTCCTTCCAGCTTTGTCCTTTTTTTCAGTGTTGCTTTGGCGATTCTGGGTCTTTTGTGATTCCATATACATTTTAGGATTAGTTCTAGTTTTGTCAAAAAAGCGGGCAATTTGATAGGGATCTCATTAAATCTATAGATTGCTTTGGGTAGTATGGCCATTTTAACAATATTAATTCTTCTAATCCAAGAGCATGGGCTATCCTCCCATTTCTTTGAATCATCTTCAGTTTCCCTCATCAGTATTTTATAATTCTCAGCATGTATGTCTTTCACCTCCTTGGTCAGGTTTATTCCTAAGTATTTAATTTTTTGATGTTATTTTAAAAGAGATTTTTTTAAAACTTCCCCTGATACTTCATTGTTAAAGAAATACAACAGATTTCTATATGTGAATCTTACAACCTTAAGGTTTTTAAATCAATTGAGTTATTTCTTTATCGTTTCCTCCTGAAAGCAGATATTCCACTGTCTGCACAGAATGTAGACTCAATTGTAGAATAAGTCTCTGCAGCCCAGGAGCGGTCACAATTTCTGAAAGACTCTTCAAGTGTCAAACAGCCACCCTCACATGGAAAACCTGGGCCTTTCCCCCAAAGTTCGTGGATCCTAGCTTCCTTTCAACTCCTATCTTAATATACTCTTACAGACTTTTCAGCTTAAGAGAATTTGCCTAGAACTAACTAACTAAATACCATTTTCCCTAAAATTGGGCATTCTCGAAGGCTAATCAGTTTTCAAATTAACGTGCACTATGATGATTAACTTGAAAACTGGGGGCATTGAGAACAGCTGTGACCCAGGACCTGCTCTAGGAATGTAGTGCTGACTCACATAAAAGGTCAGGTTCCTTTTCCTTCTTTCCAGACGTGTTTCGTTAGGATGTTATCCTTTTCAGGTCAGTATTGCATTTGAAAATCACACTATTAATCTTTCAGCTGCCCTTCTGGATGGCTGCAAGAATTAAGTATTATTTGCATAATTTTGGGGGACAGGGCAGAATGACCAAGCATAGCAATGTGAAAACATGTATTTAAAATTCTTATGTATGTGTAATAAATATTAGAACACCACTGAGCTAAATTTAATGAGTCTATATTTAAATTACCTGCCTGATGACAATTTTACTTAATCACAATTAGAAGTAGCTCTGATTACTTCCTGATAATTGCTACTTAGAATCTGGAGGGGAAATTTCTGAACCCAGACATTTCCAGGTAACAGATTACTTAATTGCTAACATCAAACTGGCACTCAAAATAATAACCCCACCCTTGTCATGGGCGGTTAGCAATGTGTACTGAGAAGCACCTCCGGTGGGGACTGTTCTAGGTCCTGTGGGGAGAAGAGAGAACATCTCTGCAGTTGGCAGTGGTGGAGCAAGAACAAAGCCCTAGAAAACACAGTGGCAACACGTGGGTCTGTGTAGGTGTGTCATGTGACTCACGGGGACCTGCGTGCTTCCACACAGCGGTACCACCGGACTGTACTGTCCCTGAGATCTGTGGGCCAGCGAGGGCATGCCTCTGTTACTCAAGACCCTGCACTTTTCTTGCTTTCTCTCCTCCTGTTCACTGTCGTATTTTTATGCTTATGGTTTATTACTTGTTTCCACCGACTTGAATTTAAGCTGCACAAGAGGAGAGATTTTTATTTATTTATCTGCAGATACATTCCAGATGCTCATAAGGCCTTTGCACGTAGTGGGCTTCTCAATAAATACTTGTTGAACGAGTGAATTTATCTCCATGATGGATGAAGATAAGGACATCAGTTTAGATGCCTTTGCTGTTCATTGCAAGAAAATTCGCACACCAGTATGGATGTGCGTCTGATGTTTTCCTTCTACTCACAGACTGAACTTTCAAAGCCTAAAAGACACAGGGGTAAATCTCTCTGAAGGCCCAGAAAGAACAACCTCGAGTTTCAAACTGATGGGGCTCCTGAAAAAAAAAATCTATTCTTAAGAAGAAAATGGAAACAGAAAAAAAAAAAAAGTGAGCTGGCTGGCTGTTTCGGAGGAAAACTTTGCAAGTTGTTGAAAGATGAAAAAATTCAGTCATCAACACCAAGTAACCTGTCTGAGTTCCTTTATTAAACTTATTTTTGAACAGTTTGACTCTGTTGGAGAGGCCAAGCCAAATGAAATTTGAATTGCTGCTGCTTGGAAAAAACCAAAACAAAACAAATTTTGGCTGCCTGCAGAAGCAAACCGGCCACATAGACCCTAAGTGCAAGTCCCGGACCAGTCACAGAGACGGCTGCACGGATGGAGCGTGCCCTACGCGTACCTTTCCCTTCTCACAACCAGTGATGACGCAGCTTTCGCGCCTCTGGGTACAGATCCCATGAACACACTTCCTCTTTCTTTTTTCTTTCTTTTCTTTTCTTTCTTTCTTTTCCTTTCTTTCTTTTCCTTTCTTTCTTTCCTTTCTTCCTTTCTTTCTCTTTCTTTCCTTCTTTCCTTCTTCCTTTCCTTTCCTTTCCCTCCCTCCCTCCCTTCCTTCCTTCCTTTCTTTCTTTCTTTCGCAAGTTCTTGGTATCTTTTTCCTACTAAAAGACCTCTGAGGCCCCTGCTTTTCATGGTAAAACACTGGCTCCTGCATCTCCAAACAGCCCCCTTGTGCATTTAACACCATTGCTGTCAGGTGCAGTTCAAAGACTGTGAGAAACCCATCGTGGGACTATTCTGGGTGTAACCTGAGATTTCTCACTGCCTCGTGTACGTCTGAGTCAATTTGCCTTGATGCCAAGACTCTTCAACCAAAAGGAACACGATCTGATTTCAAACCGAAGTAAACGCCCAAAACAGGTAAGCCTGATCCCATGAAACGGACCATTTGGAGAGAAACTCTCAGCATTTTAAAGTGAGCCTCGTTTCCCCCCACCTTTGGCTTCCCAGTCCCTTTGTAGTAGTGGTGGTGACTTTATTTTTACCCCATACCCCTTTTCCCTGACTTTTCTCCGTCTCTGTGTCACTCCTATGGCCACTGTCAATCAGCAGACAGTGGTTGGGATATTCTGGCCCTAAAAGACATGCGGCCCCAAGGGAGGAACAATGCGTGCTCTCCACATGTACATCGCCCTCTGTGCTCATCACGTGGGAACTGAGTCCTCACTGCTGCCTTTACGGCTCCCAGGACTTCCCTGTGCATCCCACCCCGGGCATCTGGCAGGGCAGCGGTACTGTGTTTTATTGATCATTGGCTTCAGCATTCACCATGTGCCCAAAGGGATAAATGTGTGAAGACGTGGACAGTCTCACTGAGAAATCAGGTTGAGAGCACCAGCTCACCAAACGGCTGCTTGTTTAGCTGTTGAGCTGTGTTTGGCCAGTCTTCGCTTTGTCTTCATGGCAGCACTTTAAGGAGCTCGGCTGTGCCACATCCCAGCTGTGGCTGGAAACTGAGGGCAGAGGGAGACGGAGGCTGAACGGGGATGTGTTCTGAACAAAGACTGCCTGTGACTACATTAGTTATTAATATATTCATTCATAGGAAGGATATATTTATAAGGATTCTGAATATTCAAAAACCTATTAACAAATAGATTCTTCATGAATATATAAGGAGAAAAAAGTTTTTAAGAAATTATAAGAAAATGTATTCATGAATATATTCTTGAATATTAACAGTGTATTCATAGGAACATTTTGTATTCAAGAATATATTTTTATGTTGGAAAGACAAACTGAATATTCTTTAAAATGATATGGTACAAAATGCAATGCAATCAGTACTCAGTATTTCAAAGGAAATGAGTAAATGTGGCAAGTTGGTCACTTCCTGGGTGGTGAAGAAATGCTTCCAGATCCAGCCCCTGGCTGGACTCAGGACTCGGTGTCCAAGCCTGGGCCTGACTCCGAATCCCAAGTACTTGCCCCTGTTTCCCCACCTCCAGCCCTCCCTCAGCAGACGGAGAGTCCACAGACGAAGGTGACTCAACCAAGAAATCCCAGGGGTGTTTGAAAGTCGGGGTCAGCCCGGTGCTCACAGGGAGGCCCTCTCCTGCACTGCCGCTCCGCGGTCTGTTCAGGGGGCAGTTTACGGGGTGTACGCGGAGGGAGGGAAGGGGTTTGGCGCTGATTAAGGATTGATTTTTCTTGGAATGTCTGTGGGTTGCTGGAAGTAACAGAAACTTTTGCGAAAGTTACCTGGAGTTACAGGCATTCAAAGACGACAGTGTGAGAGGTCCTGAGCCCCCTCGGGGTGCTTGCTGATGACCTAACGCCCAGCGTGGTGCTGTGTACTCGTGATGTGCTGTATGAATGGTCCTTTGAGGGAGGTCTGTCTTATAATCCAGAAGTTTGTATTTCTTGATGCCCTGATGGCAGTTTTCTTTGCTGTTCCTTGACTCACTTGTATTCCAGGCGGGACTCAGGAAAAGAGGAAGGGAGGCTGAGGCCGGTACATGGGGGCAGCGGAGGCCCTCACACCATCTGGGCACTTCCCTGAGGGTGGTGGGTGCACCTGGCAGAGCAAGAGCTCAGCTCCTAATGTTCCAGTGTTCGGCTCCGAGCCTTTCTGGAGAGTCTGGGGAGTTGGGAGGGGCCTGGTTGGAGCAGACTCTGGGCGTGGCAGAGTGGAATCCAGGACAATCGAGGGTCCCTCAGGGGCATTCCAGGGCCCACCCCATGTGCTCCTGGGCCCCGTGCGTAAGGCCTGATGCAGGCTTGTGTTGGGGGCAGATTCCTGGAGGATGGTTCAAAACACAGATGGCGGCTGCTGTTAGTTTCCTGACACCTACTTCAGGGCTGCTGTGAGGTGTCAGGCTCCTCGTGGGCGCTGCGGCTACTGCACTCGCGTACACGGCCTCAGAATCAAATGGAAAAGACCCTTCGTGGGTCGGTGTTATGTCCTCATTTTATAGAGAAGTTACAACTATTGTAGGAAGTCACAGAGCTGGAATCTAGATTTGAGTTTGATTCACCTGCCTCATTAACTTGTAACAAATAACTGACTGTGTGTCAAACACCAGATATGATGCCAAATGCCAGGAACAAGTGATGTGTAAGACACGGTCTTGGTCCTGGGACCCTAGACTCGTGGGGAGAGACAAGCAAGGAAAAACAGGAGTGAGGAGCGATGTGATGTGGGGCGGCTGCCAGGGGAGCCGGGGAGCTATGGGTGGAGAGAGATGCTGGAGTCAGAAGATGCAAAGGCGGGAGGCCCAAGAGCAGGGGGAAGGGGAGGAAAGGAGCTGATTGCAGATCCAGCTGGACCGGGAGAGAAGGGTAAGGAGCACCGTGACTGGGGTGGGGAAGGGCAGAGGCGAGGCCTGGACCCCAGTGGGGCTGGGGTGGCTGATTGCCCCTCCTCTGCCCTGTCCACGCCCAGTGATGGGGTGTGGGTGGCAGAAGGCTGCGTCGCTCAGAAACTGGCAAAGAGTCAGATGGTTCCAGCCTCCTGGCCTGGGCAGCTCCTCTGATGATGATATTTCTCTTTCAGGTGGGGCCGAGGACTTGCCATTTGAACGTCAAGGTTGAGTGCTTGGGTGACAGAGTGGGGATTTCTGGCAGCTGGCTCGACTCCGGGATCAAGCTCTTTTGGTCTGACTAACCCATCCTCCAGGAACACAGCAGCTCAACTCTGCTTCTGCCTGGAACCATCTGTCCTGTTCCAGATCATCCTGTTGAAATGACAGGTAATGTACAAACTGCAAATCTCAGGTCTTCCATGGAGCCTACATAAATGAGCAATTTTGAGGTTCTTTTTAATGAAAAAAAAAGCCTCAAATTTAATGTCTTAAATCATTAACACCTAAATCTACTATATGTCAAACAACACTACAGTAAAATTCCATGTAGGCAGGGTGAGACGCAAGGATGTAACAGCACATCTCTTAAGAGACGAGTCCTGTTTTCTTCACTGACTTGAGAAGCTCCCCAAACAGCATCAACTTTCTTAAGCCATGAGTCTTAATGAAGCAAACGGGTATTGTAGGTCTGTCTTATCTATTTCTTTTCTCTCCCACTGCCAACCCCACCCTCCTTCAAAACCAAAACACGGTGGAGCTCCAGTTCAGTGGGGCACTTGTAGTGCCTGCTGTCAGTGGAGGTAAGAAAAAAGGTGCTTGTCTTCTTTCAAAACTGGACTGACTCCACTTAAGAGTCAGATACAGTCCCTTATACAAAACAAGTAAGGCTGATAAGTAAGAATTGTTGAAACAAATAACACAGCTCCCTGCGTTAGAAATCTCCCCTCTCAGTGGTGTGCCCGTCTGCAAAGCTGTACCCAAGGCCCCGTGTCACACAGCCCGCAGGACAGCCGAGTCCCCCGGAGGCACTGCCCAGAGCTGGCGCTGGGAGAGCGCGGGCTCCCCAAGGCCCCGGACAGCCAGGGCGCCGGGTGGAGGGAGGGTCCTCCCGGCTTCTGCTGGGCGCCCAGGCTGGCTGTTCACATGCTCCCCAGGCTCGCTCCAAGAGACCTTGAGGGCACAGCTGAGAAACACTTCGTGGAACACGAAGAATTAATGGGTCATGAAAACATGTGCTTATCTAAAATTTTTTTAGAAGATTCACACTTTCCTGAGTAAGTACACACATCTCATGTGAGGTCTTTTGAAAGCACCAGGCCAGTACCTCTTAGACCCCCTGTACCCAGGCGGCAAATCTGAGCCAAGCTCAGATGTTCTGGGGATGTTAACAATGTGCACGTATCATTTTTCTAATACTCTTATCACTTGAGAGTTTCACACTTGCAAAGTAGGAAAAGGCTTCTTGGACAGCATGGGCGAAGAATAAAGGTGCTTGTGTGGGCTGCTTTGGTCAGAGTGGAGCTGAGGACGCTGGGGAACCCGGCCCGTGCCAGGGTCTCTGTGTCCTTGGCACTGGCTCAGACATCAAATCCTTCAAACGTAAAAACCACAGCCCCTTAAAAGGTCCAGATCAAACGTGGCCATGAGCCTGGGGACCCCGAAATCAAGTTAACGTTGCTGATCTTACCGCTGAGAACAAGTCACGTGGCCACAGCCCATCAGGTGGAATGTTTACCCCTGATGTCCTGGCCCGAGACGGCACCTTCCCCGGTGAGGTCCTGGGAGTGCCTGAACGTGAGGATGGAGTTATAGATCTTCAGAGCGGGACCCAGCTTGATCTTCATCACCTGGACGATGTCTGCCTGCGTCAGGAGCAGGAAGGCTTTGCCATCAATCTGCTGCAGGTAAAGAAGTAAGTACAAATGAAAATACCCTGCTGCTCAGATCTGCCTGCCTCCAGGTGCCCCCAGGTGCTGAGCTGTGTGGCCGGGACGGGACCCTTGACGGCCTCCGGGGCTCAGGGACCACGGGTAACGGCGGCATCTTAGGACCTGCAAGGGGACCGTGGACAGGGTGAGTCTGGACGTTGCTGGATGCAGAGGGTGCCTGTATGTGCGAGGCTGGGCTCGGGTGGGCCAAGTGAGCCCCACGTTTCCAAGGGCAGCTCCAGGCTGATGCTGTGACATCTGGGTGCTGAGTTCCCTGGAGACAGGGCTTGCCGGGCTCTGAGGGATCCGGGACCCAGAACACAAAGAGTGCTCCCTCTGCCCACACACACCCTGGCTCCAGAGAGGGAGAGTGTGCGCTGCGCCCCGGGGCCCTCCGAGTGAGTTCTTGAGTAATGGCGGAAGCTTGGGAATCAGGTGGGTGAGGGCTGGAGTCCTTCCCTTGCCCGCCCAAGCTTCTCCATCCGCACACTGCCCTGCCCTCCGAGGTTGGCAGCAGGGGCCCTGTGGAAGGACTGGTGGCTTCTGTGTCCCGACAGGGACAGGCAGGATGGCCCTACTTTGACTTTGAAGCAGACAAGCACCCTCATTCTGCCAGAGGTGCAGGCCCCTGGCAGATCCTCCCAGCCCCCAGTGGAGCCGGAAGTCACAGTACAGGGGCCTTGGGATAAACTGATGGACGCGTTCCCATAGCTGACTTGGTGAGAGGTTTCAGAGCACAGTGACGGCCATCTGTGACCAAGCCCAGCGCACATCAGCCACCCAGACAGAGGCTGCCCTGGGCCCCCGTTGGACCTCCTTCTCCCACCAGCCCCAAACTGCTCTTATTTACCCTTAAGTAAGTGGAAGCAAAGCACTTCTGGGTATACAAATAGAGAAATAGGTATAATCAGTACACCTCTTACCTCTTTCTTGAAGCACTTGGCGTGCTCTTCGCAGCCCAGGAGAGACCGCACAAACTCCACCACCTGCAGCGCAAGATGAAAAGCCTGATTTAAAACACCCACCTGAAATAACACCTTGGGCTGCAGTCATTCAGCGTGTGAGTGAAATACACTTCAGATCCCTCCAGCACTCGGGACGTAAATGAGCAGTGACTCCCCAGGCACAGGGGCCTGTGCTCGGAAACCTTTCCGGCCTCTCACCTCCAGGCTGACCTGCGTTGGGTTACAGGTGTCAGGACGCCGACGACTGTCCCCACTTGTGCGGAGGCTTGGCGTCCAGAACCTTCTGTCAGATCGTCCTATCCACCCTGTGGCGTCAGTTGTGACAGTGAAAAATGAGTTGGATGTCGCCTGGTAAGAGCCACTGTGCTTGTGAAAGGTCCCTCACAGGCAGGGGGCTGAGGGTCGTAGTGGGAAAATTAAAGAGAAAACTGGGACTGGGAACCAGCTGAAGAGCGTGTTGTCGCTCGCTCACCAGTTCCTGGGGAGAGCCGCCAGCACCAGGGCCCTGGGCTCCCGCCAGGGTGTCCTGTAAATACGGGCCCCAGGAACTTCTCAGAAAAGGGGTGTGTGTGGCTTTGACGCTTTTCAGGGGTTAAAGTGTCCTTTTCTGGGCAAACAGATTTTGAAAAGAAGGGTCACACTCCCTCTTAGTATCGTGAGCCAAGAAATCACTGTCCATGTAGGAGGGAGATTGGATTTTTTTAATGGGGAAAAATAATGTGCTAAAGCAGAGAGTGAAAAGAGCCACCGTACTGACGAGGGTGGCCCCGGGCCGGGCCAGCACAGCCCCTCGCTGTCCCGTCCCGCTGTCCTTTACTGTCTTCCTTGGACAGTTTTACCACGTGTCTGAGATCCTCGGTCTTTTTGGAAAGAGATTCTGATTTTTTTCCAAAGTAAAGAACGTAGTCCATGAAATCTACTAAGGCAGACTTTTCTAGCCAGAATTTTAAAGTACCCAGAGGCCTGGGTCCTTGTCTTGGTATTACTGTTCAATACTGCTGGTCAGGATTTATCCCTCTGAGAATCAATTCCACTCTGAGCTCTCACAGGAGCCTGTTTGCTACAAACTTTCTTAAAAGTAACAGACCACAGAGGAGTATGAGACAGGTTCCTCTCGCTCTCCCCTGAAGCACCGTGGTCCCCGCAGAGATGGCCTCACGGAGCCAACTCCACGTGGGAGGAAGCTGCTGTCCTTCATCCTTTGCCTCCGCCCAGGACGCCCAGCACACCTGGAGTGGAGGAGGGGTGCTCGGGACCGCAGCGTCCCACAGCCTACACCCAGGCTTTGTTTTGGGAGGACACTGAGTAAGTTAGTTCTGGGGATGACAGCAGTTTGGAAAGACTTGAGAGAGGCTGTGCAGGCCCTGAGCTGAGCCCATTACCTCCCTGCCTGGCGTCCTCCTGGGCCCTGGTGGTGGGGCTGCTGCTCCCCTAACTCTCCCCAGATGCAGGTGTTTTCCTCTCACTGACACTGTCCTGGCTGTCGGTCCACCAGGGACCGTGTTTCCAGCCCAGGGCTCATTTCTTAGCAGTGGAATTTATTATTTGCGCTGTTTCAGGGCCTGACTGTGTAAGGCTGCTGTGCTTAGTGAGCAGTATCCTGAATTTTTCAAAACACTCAGCCCTGTGTGAAAGCGACCACTGTCTTTAAGAGTAAAGGGAAATGTAGGGAGCACTTGGATGAGGCCTGGGCGATTTAGATGCGCTGCTTTAAAAGGCACCTTTGAATGCAAGAAAGAAAAGTTCCCAGACAGGCACCAAGCACCCTGAGCCCCACCCGTGGCTATAATGTACGTCCGTGGCGCATCCAGGCCACGTGTGCCCACGGACACCTGGCAGGAGGGGCTGCAGAAAATTCACCACCTAATTCACTCACTCACTCACTCGTCACACACCTGCTCTGGCAAGTTACTTGCTATCAAGATGGAAAAAGATCTACAAATAATTTAGTCCCTTCTTTTCAACGCTTGTGCCTCCTACAGAACACTTCCACAACCAGAGTAAGAAATACACTTCCCAGGGACCACGGCTTGAGTGTGTGCACGCCCACATATTTCTAACAAGCCTTCCACAAAACAAAAACCATTACCACAGCAATGTACTTTCATCTGGCCTTGTGTCTCCTTTTAGAACCGCTCAGTTGACTCCACAGCCTGCCCGAGCTTTGAGAGACTCTGCTCTAGCGCAAACAGCCACGCGGCAAAGGAGTTACAAGCCGGCCCCCACCTCCAGGCGCTGTGACAGATGCTCCGGTACACGCTCGGAGGGGAGCTCTCCCCCAGGCCAGGAAGAAGGCCGAGAGGGAACATCCGTGCGCTGCCGGAGCCAGCAGCTGCCTGGAGTCTCCCTGGATGGCGCATAACACGAGGACCGCAAGCCATTTCAACATGCCTGCCCCTGGCCGCTGAGCTCCCGCTCCGATGCTCTGCCCAGAGGGAACACAGCAGAGAGAACAGCCCTCCTATCCCTGCTGGCCCCGACCTACCGGACCTCTCAACCCCACCCACCACTGTTGACCCAGCGTCTAGAACAGCAGCTCTGCGGTGGAACCTGGAATGCCCCCAGGGAGCCCCCTTCTGACGAGCTGCCCTATTTTCGAGGCTCCAAGCAGAACAGTCACAAAGCCCACACTCTGAACCATCAGATTCTCCTGGAGGACCAATCTTGGTACTAGAACATGTGCGGCAGAATGTGAGAATACAGCCAGGAGCGTAGGACGTGGTCGGATGAGAGGCCTGCGGCTCCGCAGTGAGAAGCTGCCTCCCCCCCCCCCCGCCCCAGTCCCCACTGTCCTTTCAAGGGCAAACCCGTCCGTGGTTCTATTACCAGCACAGCAGGTTTTAATTCTCTCAGTCGGCTCTGAACTGTTAAGAGTTCACTGACTACAGATGGGGCGAGGGGAGGCCCCGCATACTCTGCAGGGAGCAGCGTCACCTTTAGTCGCCCCCTGCCCCCAGCAAATGCCTGGCCCGTCTAGTTGTCTCCGTTCCGCAGGAGCCTCCCAGCAGGGCCCCCACTCCACGGGGAGGGTGCCGGGCATGTGAGCTGCCGAGGGGAGCGGGGGCAGCGACCGGACCTCAGCCTCTGCCTCCTGCTCCTTGTCTGGGGCTGGAAAGGAAGCCTCAAAGTGAGACTAAGTCAAGTTGGCCGCAGTGAGCTCAAGGAACATTCTGTGACTAACTGAACTCCAGCATCACTGTCTCGTCCTCAGAGTGACTCAGGGTTTTCTTCATTTAAAAAAAAAATAAAGACCTGACATGTGAAAACAACACCTTGATCAAAAGAAACGTCGAAGAGTGTGTGACTTTAAGTGTGAAATGTTGCCACAGCATCACAGTGAGCAGTGGCACTTACCTGGTCCTTCTTCAAAGCCAGTACTGTCAAGCATGTTGACACTGAAGTCGAATCCACTCCCCCGCTCTGCACTGCTGTGATCTAATTTACTTCACAAATAAACCCGAGGTTGACCTGATCCCCTGTGGCTATGGAAGGACACGGGGCTGCTGGGAGTGAGGACTCAGAGTCCCCGGGCCTTGGGCATAGGGTGTCCGGTGGGGGGTGCTGGCCCAGGGCTGCAGGGACGTGAGCCTGGAGGCTTGGGATCCTCAACCTGAATCAGCCCTGGGTGTGGGGTGGGCAGGTGATGGCGAGGGTGCATGAGGCTGGGGAGGGCAGGGCCGGACCAAAGGGCTTCCCTACCTTTCTCCCTGCAGTGTGGCTCTGGAATGTGAGCGTCCATCCCAGGGACCCAGAGCAGCTGCTCACCTCATCCACTGTCCACTGGGCCACCTCGCCAGCCCGGACATCAGCCACGCCTGGGAGTAGCTTGCGATGCTGCTCGCGGCCGAGGGGAAGGACCCGGAAAGGCTGGGCCGACAGGGCCGACGTGAAGACTGACAGGTGCAGCACCTGCTGGGTCCGCTGGGCCGAGTGCTCTGCAAGGGAGGCAGCGCTGCAGTGAGGTGGCAGCTGGCCAGCGCCCCCTCCACCGGGGCTGGGGTCAGACACGGCGGAACCCTGGGCAGATGGCGTCCCCAAGCACGGTGACACCGCTGCTCTCTCAAATAACGGTCGTGAGAAACGTGTTATTCAGTCCCCAAGACTGGCTATTTGCTAATAAGCAGGTTCGGTGATCTCTGTGACACACTGATGCCAATGAAGAGCCAGCCTGTCACTGCCACTGGCCTCTCTCCCTGGGTCAGAAGTCAGAGCAGTACAGAGCCTTGTGGAACATGGCTGTAAGTGGATCGCACACCAGCCACTGCGGACATGCAGAGACAGAGCGTGGTTCCTCCCTGGAAGCCACTGCATCTGTCACAATGGCCCGGGGCCACATCTGGCTTCCAGGGTTCCCTGGGGCACACCGAAAGTGGGATCAGCACAGGGTCCCGGGAGAACTTGGGGCAGCTGCCGCTGTAGGTCCCCATGAGACACAGTGGCCTCACTGGGCTTGGGGAAACCGCCGCAGCTGAGAGCTGGCAGCCTGGCCCAGACTCTTAAATGGGCCTTCCGTGGGGAGCAGAGAGTGGGCCGTGGTCCTAAGGCTCGAAGAGCCTGTCCTGCCCCATACCGGCTGCTGGTCACCAAGGAGTAAGACTTCATGTCTGCCCACCTCTCCCAGGCTTTCTGAACTAGTTTCCACCTGCAAGCAGGACGTTATAGTCTTCTGTGACATCCTGACATTCAGGTGGGAACGTGGATCTCAATTGTCTATAATTATTTTGCTTTGGCTGTACAAATGGTTAAGGGGCAAAACCACTATAGAGATTTCAGAGAAAACCCGTACCTTCACAATGACATCTTTTAAGATACTTTCAACACACGTTAGCCAAATAAAGCTGTTGATATTTTAAAAGATTTCTGAAAGACCACTAAAGAAAATGTTTTAAGCCCTCTAAAGGTCTGCCTTTCCTAATGCAAATGCCAGGTTCAGGAAGCAGTAACCACAGAATTTAAAGTCAGTTATGAAGGTCTGTGTTTCACTAACGACGTCTGAAGAGCTATTATGCAAATATTTCCACCTCAAGTTAATTACAGTTTTCAGTAGGGAAGGCTGACCTGCACTTGCACGCGCGCAGAATCACTGCCTGGTGAGCGACCAGAGAGGCTCTGAACCATAAAGGAGCCCGTCGCTCACCGCCCAACTGCTGGGCACAGCCAGCCTGCGCAGCGGCCCAGGCGTGCTGTCTCACAGGTAGAGAGACAGCAAGATTGCAGCTTTCTCCCAATTCTTATGCTCCAGTTGCAAACAGCAGCAAATTCATCTCTCAATGCTGACTGTCCAGCACTGACCTTTTTAGTATGTAAATAGGTTATCTCCTCCATGTGGTTCAGCCAACAGTCTGCAAGGCTGCCGGTTTGGAAGGGAAACCACATCTTCAGAAAACCAGTACGTTTACAAATGCGAATATTCGTAATGAAGCTGTCAGGTTGGACAGGAACATGTACAAAGCCAGCCCTGGAAACCCAGGGTGCACGCGTCACAGGGCAGGTCTGCAGGCCCGGACACGCACTCGCGAGGGCTCTCCTGGGAAGCCGAGAGGTAAAGCTCTGTGCTCTCGGGGATTAAGACCTGAGCCAAAGCCGGGCTTTATTCTGGAAAAGAATCAACGCGTCAGTCGGCTGCTTTTGCTGAAATAGCGTGGGCTTAAAGAACAAAGCACATCTGTATCTCAAACCCAGGCCCGGGGTAAATCAATCGTGTGTAGTTTGGGAGACATACAGAGCTCTGAAAAGACACAAGGAATGAGTCCTGTGTTTCGGAGGAATGGAGATGTGATGGTGATCACATTCCTGTGATTCGCAAGTCAAGGCTGCAGGCCTTCAAGATGTAAGAGAACCCCACTGCGCTGCCCGGCAGGAGCGCTTCCCACCCACACGGAACTCTGGAAGCAGACTGCCTGGGGCGCTGAGGTGTCCACCTGGAAGTAAACCCGCGGCGTGGCTGGCAGCTATGGGGAGCACTGGGCCCCTCCGCCCGCGGCTGCTCCTGGCTCTCACCCTGGAGGATGCGGACTCGGTTGGCCCAGGTAGTGAGATGGCCTTCAGGTCACAACTCCGGGGAGGGAGGGAGCCCAGCCTGGTGTCGCACACTTGAACCCAGGCAGCTTTACGCTCTCAGCAGCTTTTGAATTCCATCTGTGTCCCAATTAAATCAATCTGTCTGTTTGAAAGATGGCTGGACGTGTGGCGGGCTGAGCAGAGCTCAGCGGGGAGGGGCTCGGGATGCAGGAGGAGCAGCCGGGGCCAGGCCCCTCCCCGGAGCACGCAGGCTCTCTGTGCGTTGGCAACTTCGGGCTTGGGGGAGGCGTGCCAGAGTTACACGCTGACCGCAGGTCACATTTCTGCTGTTACGGGCTTTACAGTGTGAGACGGAAAGTCAGAAAGTTGAGTTTTCCTGCTCCAAAAGACATGAGTTGGGTTAGGGTGGGCGGCCCTGAGCAGGGAGTTCGCAGTAACCAGCCTGCCACCACCAAGACGCAGCTGGAGCTGCCAGTGCCTACCGTGCGGAGCTGGCGGGTGGGGAAGAGGTGTGTCCGTGGGAGAACACGGCAACCGAGCATCCGGTGACAGGTGCTACTCTGAGCTCCTGAGGTCAGGGCTGCCGCTCTACCAGGGAACTTGCATTGTTCAAAGTTAACACAACGCAAGACCAATCCTCCGGGAGTCACGTGAGACAGAGATAACATTTTGGAGCGTGTTTCATGGTGGCTTTTTCGCCGCCTTTGTAGCATTTCCCAGCTCTGATTTTCCTCCACAGCTGACGGATTTGGGGTGGGGTCCTCAGTTCCAGCTGAGAGAGGACTGTGGCATCAGGGGAAGGGCGGGTCCCCAGCCCACCTGGCTGTGAATCCTGGTCCTAGGTAGCTGCTGAGTGGCCTTGGGTGAGATGCGTAACTCCTATGTATCGAGGTTTTTCATCTTTAAAGTGGGGTAATGACAGTAGTTACACCTCCCTGAGTTGCTAGGATTAGAACGGCTCCTAGCACGTACGTGTTCAGTGCATTTTAGATGCTGCACTACAGCAGACCCCCTGAGTCGTGGGGGACACGTCCCAAGCCCCCAGCGGATGCCTGACATGGGGGATAGTACCGAACCCTATGCGCACTATGTTCCCCCGCCCCGTACGTGCGTACCTAGGGTGAAGTATAATTTATAAGTTAGGCACAGTGTGAGATTAACAGCAATAGCGATGAACTACGACAATCATAAAAATATACTGTAATACAAGTTACATAAATATGGTCTTTCTCTCTCAAAATATCATACTGTCCAAATTTAATGTCTTTTGCATCTCAACTGAGCACTTATCAAGCCCTGTGACCGTAACTTTTGCACTTTGAGGTGTGAGAGCAAAACTAGAACAAACTTTTTTTTCTTCTTCACAATTTCAAGGATAGGAGATTTGTTCTTACCAGAGATCTTATAAGCAGTCTCAGCAAACAACTTCTTTTCTTTCCTTATTAAGTCGAGAACTTTCGCCCTTCCACTTAAAGGAAGCACTTTATAAGATTTCTCTGTGGCACGTCCCAGTCGCCAGTGTCAGTATGTTCGGCCTGGGGCCAAGATTCAGTGAAGTAAGGGTCACTTGAACGCAGACCCTGCATAACACGGAGACGGACCTGATAGCCGAGGGCTACCGAGCGACCAAAGGGCGGGATGCTCGGGGTGGAGGGATGAGTCGGGTCCTGGGGGAGTGGACAGTGGGAACAGCACCCAGTTAAGAACTTGTGAAGTGTCTATTTCTAGAACTTTCCACAATATTTTTGGACCACAGTCAACTACAGGTAACTGAAATGGTGGAAAGCAAAAACTGGGATGAAGCGAGACTGCTGTATTGTTACAGGATACAGTTTGGGATCAGCAGATACAACTGCTGTGCATAAAACACATACACAAGGTCCTACCTACTGTAAGCTCCGGGAACTATTCAACGGCTTGTAATAACCTATCCTGAGAAACAATCTGGAAAGAACATAGACACGTATAACTGAATCACTACACTGTACACCAGAAACAACTCTGTAAATCAACTATACTTCAATAATAAAAAAAGATATTTTAAGTTGTAACAACAGTGAATGTACGGACTTACAAAACTTCAAAGCCAGGGTGGCTAGAAGTGCCTGCGTAACGCCTGTGGAAGCTGAAATTCACATCGACGCTCAGGATCTTTAGGGCCATGTTTGGATTTCACACCCCGGGGTCACCGGAATCACCTGCAGGGGCCTGGTGAGCGCGGCTCCCCTGGCTGCGGCAGGGAGGGGCATCTGCGCTGATTTGCATGCGGCCACAACTGCCCCGTTCACGTGTGCCCACCCGCCAGCTTTGAAATTCTGTGGCTCTAGACAGGCTTTAGGAGGGGGGGTGGTATGCATTAGCTTACATTTTGTGCATAAAGTCCGCCTTTTGAAAATACCCACTTAAAACCTTGCATACATTTTTTAAATCAGATAGGAACACACTGGTCTGACGTCACCAAGCCTAGCACAACTCCCACCACTTGATGGCCAAGCAGTTAAAGAGCAGAGCCTGTGGCGCAGGTGTACGCTGCCCACAGAGACTACACTCATAAAATCAGAAGCACCAGATTTTTCTATCTGGGGACATTTTGAATACATGGAGGCTTCCTGGTTGGGAAAGGATGTCCACCATGAAGGGGGCAGGAAGGGTCTCTAACTGGGCCCCAAATTTCATCCATGAGGCCCAGCTCCCCTAACACAGCCAAGAAAACTCAGGCTGCAAATGCAGCCCTGCCACCGGAGGTTCTGATATTTTAATTAATCAAAATGCCTTTTGCATCAGAAAATGAAATGGATGTGTAATCCTGGCCTTGCCTCCAACACTAATGTGTGAGTGACAATAAATAAAGCTATGCCTACACTTAAGATACTTCCCCCCTTTCAGAAAAGTGTGCAATGCTTCTCACCTCAGT